CCGGACCACTTTGTGCTTCGTCCCTTCGACAGCATGGAACTGGTCAGCCAGCTGGAATCCGACATGGACGATTTTTACGAGAACAACGTTTTCCCCGCTGCGGACTGCGTTCCCGTTTCCGGGGCACTCTACGCGGCGTTCGTGGAAGAAGCTGACGCGTGGGAACGTGTCTGCGTGAAAGACATCGCGCAGAACGGTGACGTTTCGGTCTGGGGGCTGGACAAGGGCGGGTATCACGTGGTCTCGCCGGCAAACCTACGCCCGCTTGATGCTCGCTTCCGCGTCATCCCCGCTCAAGCCATGATGGGGAAACTCGGCGGGGTTGTACCAGCAAAGGGAGACAAGTGGACGTCGCCAACGGAAGAGCTTTTCCGCGATCTCGTTCAGAAGAAGGCGTTCGTTGGCCAGCTGCTGTCAACACCGCGTAGCGCCGGGAGGAGGGGACACTTCCGGCAGGTCTGCCTGAACCTGAGGCTCATTGACACCTCTAACCCGGACAGGGACGTGCTGGTGGAGGATGTACTGGTCAGCAAGGGGCATGCCAGGGCACTGGCACTGGCAGAGTGAGGGGTAACCGTGGAAACCACGGAACAGGCATTCTTTGACATTCTATTCAGCAAAGGTCATGGTAAAGTGTTGTTGGAGTAAAGGGTATGCATGGAAACCATGGAACAGACATTCCGCAATATCCATGGAAACCACGGAACAGACGTTCTGTCTGCATTCTATTCAGCAAAGGTCATGCTAGAGCACTGTCAGAATGACTTGTAACGGTAGAAAGCACAAAAATAATGTTTTTCCGACATTCTATTCAGCAAAGGTAACGCTAGAACGCTGAAAGAGAGTGAGTTGTGTGCATGGAAATGCTCTATTTTTTTATCACGCTGTCTGTCATAGTTTCGTTTTGTTGTTGTTTTTCTTGTTCTTAGATGTGTATGGTAGGTTACGTTACACTGAATGTAGAGTACACGGGAACCTGGTAGAGATGTACCGAATTACATGGGCAAGAACTTCAATAAAGGAGCATTACATGAAGACAGGTGTTTGTTTGAATCCTTGTCTCGCTGAACCTGCAGCTGATTGACACATCAAACCCGGACAGGGACATACTGGTCAGCAAGGGGCATGCCAGGGTGCTGGCCGAGTGATGGGGTTGCCTTGGGAACCACGGAACAGGCATTCCGCAATATCCATGGAGACCACAGAACAGGCGTTCTACCACAGAACATACGTTCTACCCGCGCTCAGAACCAAGAACAGGCATGCCTGCGTGTGTGTGTGTCTGTCTGTGTGTGTATGTCTGTGCGTGTATGTCTGTGCGTGTGTGTGTTTAATCTCAGAACCAACAAATCAAATTTGGTGTGGCCTTAGCAGG